GAAAGATCTCGGAGTCATTGTTGATTCTGGGTTGCGTTTCTCTGATCACGTTGGTAGGCTGGTTAACTCGTCTTTAAGAATGTTGGGTGTTGCCTCTCGCTTAACCAGGGAGTTCAAAAACCCGACGGCTTTTATCACGTTATACTGCTCGCTATCCAGGTCACAGTTAGAATATGCCTCAGTTGTTTGGAATGGAATTTCTAAAAGTCACTCCTTGGAGATCGAGCGTGTGCAAAAAAAGTTTGTTTCTATCTTTAAACATCGCTACATAAAGGAGGATGTTCACTGTTTAACATATGAGTCTGCGTTAGAGCGTGTTGGTTTGCTTAGCTTGTACCGGCGTCGGGAGAACGCGGACTTACTATTTTTGTTTAAAACGCTGCATGGACTCATCAATTCTCCGAGCCTGTTATCTGAACTGTGCCTTAGGGTCCCACGTGTGCCTACTCGTCTTCTGTCATCTTTTTATGTTTCTAAAACGTTTAGTCCGGTAAACCCAATTGTGAGAATGGCTCAGCGTTTGAATCATTACTCTGAAAAACTTGATATTTTCAATCCTTGCTACAGGACGTTTGTCCTTTCTATTAAAAACTTGCCTGTGCAGGATGAGCATTGTTGAATTGCTCTGTTATGTCTGAATGTCGTCATCTCCATGTCGTGTTTTCTGGTGGTGCACTTGTTGTCCTTCGGTCTTGTGTTCCGTCTCTACTGTTACTGCCTCGTTTTTATTTTATTGTACTAATTACTTGTGCACTGCCTAGTATTATGCTAAAAATGTATCTTATTTTCTGCGGAGATGTGTATAGTGTTTTTTGTTTTTTTTTATACACCAGTGTACCAGCACCAAGACCTCAGGGTTGTTCCTGGGCACTGTATAATAAAGATTGATTGATTGATTGATTGATTGATTATTATTATTATTATTATTATTATTATTATTATTATTATTATTATTATTATTATTATTATTATTATTATTATTATTACTCGGTGGAATCAGATCTTGTTAAAAATCCCAAGAAATTTTGGAGGTACGCTAAATCGCGCTTGGGGAAGAATATTGAGTCAGAAATCGTCTTGAATCAGCGTAGCGACAGTGCGAAGGGCATGTCTGAGTTGTTTGCTGATTACTTTGCGTCAGTTTACATTAATAATAATAACTGCTCCTCATCTATTTTGCCTCACTCGGACGTTTTTGGCGACTCATTAGGTTCTGTGGTTGTCGATGAGGAATGTGTTAGGCTATGTATTAAGAAAATGAAACCCACATTGTCTGCAGGTCATGACGGGATACCCGCTGCAATTGTTAAGGCTTATCATGAATTACTTACGCCTATACTGTGCACAATTTTCAATAACTCCTTGACGTCAGGGATATTCCCTGACGACTGGAAACTGGCAGTGGTTGTTCCGGTCCTGAAATCTGGAAATAGTGGGGATGTTCTTAATTACAGACCGATTTCTCTTCTCTCTTCTTTTTCCAAACTCTTTGAAATGGTAATCCATCAATTTCTCTCCTTCAAGTTTCGTAGTATAGTCATTCCTAATCAGCATGGTTTCATGTCCGGTAGATCGACATCCACCAATCTCGTATCTTTTATGTCTGTTGCCTCTGAAGTAGTTTGTAATAGAGGTCAGCTTGACGTTTTTTATTTCGACCTGAGTAAGGCATTCGACGTAGTCAACCACAACATCCTCTTATACAAACTTTCTTCGTACGGAGTATGTGGTTCGGTATACAATTTGTTAAAAAGCTATTTGTCTGATAGGCAAGCCTACGTCCGCGTCAACAATACTACCTCGTCCTTGTACAAGGCAAGCTCTGGAGTGCCTCAGGGATCTGTCTTGGGCCCCCTCCTATTTAATATTTTTGTAAATGATGTCTCTCGAGTTATATTAAATTCTTCATTTCTGCAGTACGCTGATGATATAAAACTTTACAAAAAAATATCGACCTTAGAGGATTGCATCGCGCTTCAGAATGACGCATATTCCTTCGGTCGTTGGTGTTTAGACAATGACCTCCGTTTGAATCATTCTAAAACAAAAATAATGACATATTCTCGCAAGACCCATCATATATTCTTTCCATATAGTTATCATGGCGAACTGCTGTCACGTGTAAGTGAACTGAGGGACCTTGGAGTTGTCTTTGATTCAACCCTGAGATTTGACACTCACGTCATCAAAGTGGTTCAATCGGCCTTGCGCACGTTAGGTGCCGTGTCTCGCATAACGAAGGAGTTCAAAAGCCCGTCCGCTTTTTTTACGCTGTATTGTTCCTTAGTTAGATCCCAGCTAGAGTACGCCTCGGTTGTTTGGAACGGCATTTCCAAAACTAACAGTTCATCTGTCGAGCGAGTCCAAAACAAATTTATTTCTATCTTTAAATATCGTTACCTTGAGAATGGTGTTCCTTGTCTGAACGGTGTGTGTAACTCGCAACTTGTCAACTTGTTGAGCCTCCAGCAGCGTCGGGTGAAGGCAGATTTGTTGTTTTTGTTTAAGACCCTGCACGGCTCGATTAACTCTCCCAGCCTTCTGTCCGAAGTGAGCCTCAGAGTTCCACGTGTGCCTACACGGCTCCAATCATCTTTTTATATAGCTCGACATTTTAGCAACTTAAACCCGATCCAAAGATCGGCGGAGTGTTATAATCGCTACTCTAACACAATTGATATTTTTAACTCATGCGGGAGCAAGTTCGGAAATGCTGTTCAAATCTTCCTCTTGCAGGAAAAGGGCTGATCAGTTGAAGCGCTGATGTAGTATTTGCTTTTTGCTCTCACACCTGGTGATGTCTCTGTTTTGTGCTTTTGATTTCCCTTGTTAATCTGAGTGTATTTCATACTTGTTAATATTTTTATTCTCAGACTGGAGAACTATACGTTCTCCTTCTGCACTCGTGTGTATGTGTGTTTGTATGTGTGTGTTTTTGCTCATTTTTTTTAGTGTGCCAGCACTAAGACCAATTGGTTGTTCCTGGACACTTTAATAAACATTGATTGATTGATTGATTGATTGATTATTATTATTATTATTATTATTAAACAAAGTCGACTGAAAAAAAACTCCGCAGTTTAGGTCACAGTTGTTCGAGGAGGCTTTTTTTTTTTTTTTTACAAAGATTGGGTGAACGAAAAATAAATAGTAGTTAAAATGTCGTTTTAAAAACATGCATATATATATCAGTATTAAAAATATGGAAGCCCTCTTTTGAATACTTTGAGGTTGAGAGTGGTTCAAAAACGCCACAGACGAAAATCGTCAAAACCCGCCATCGGCGTTAGCTCTTTTTTAGTATATTTAAAGCTTAAAATTCGAAACAAAGGCAAATACCTCTAACCAAATGTATTCTGGCTAAAAGAAAAGTGTAATAAAAAAAACGACGCAAAATAAGTAATTTTTTTTTTATGATGTAAAAAAAATTTAATATATATAAATTGTTTTTTGTGTCGCGTTTTTTTTACACTCTTCTTTTAGCCAGAATACATTCCGTTTGAGGTATTTGCCTTTGTTTCGAATTTTAAGCTTTAAATATGCTAAAAAAGAGCTCGTTGAACGCAAAGTGAAAACCCTCTCTGTTTCATAATTTATTTCTCAATACTCGTGCATAATAAAGGCACAAACTTTGTTAATTTGGAAGGCAATGAAAGGTTCTACAAGTGGTATTATTTTAAAGGCAATACTAAACATAGTCCCCCCCCCCCCCCCCCCCCCTAAAAAAAATGAAGAATCCGGAATTTAGTTGTTCGCGGAGGCATGTTTAGGGATTTTCACAAAGATTGGAGCGACGAATAATAAATAGTAGTTAAAATGTCGTCTTACCTACTTGCATATATATATCACTACAAAATATATACGCTCTTTTTTAAATACTTTGAGATAGAGAGTGATTCAAATACGCCACACACGAAAATCGTCAAGACCCTGTCGTTCTTTTCCGTTTCTTTGAGATGTTTTTTTTCTGAGAAACTAGACGTGTCAGAACATTAAAATAAAAATGAGTGTTCTTCTTGGAACATGCGCCACGAAATATACAAAAATTTAAGCAAAATAAAAAAATACGTCTGCCCCTCGATGCCTGTTCTGGAAACACACGCCGCCGCGTGGAACGCGGTACGACGCTTAGTGTCACGTGGTACGTGCTCGTTCGTGCTCCAGAAATCCTCCCACTGTTTGTCTCGCCCCGTGTCTCGCCCCGAACGAGCACCTACCACGTGACACTAAGCGTCGTACCGCTTTCCACGCGGCGGCGTGTGTTTCCAGAACACCTCCGATTGGATACATTTCGTTTCTTGTGCATTAATAAGACAGGTAGGAAACGCCCGAAAGCCAAGGTGGAGTTGTGTAGTGGTTAGCACACCCGACCGGACATTGGGAGGCCCAGAGTTCAAATCCTGGCTCCGCCGTTTTTCGGCTTTCGGCGGGTTCCTTAAAACTTGGATTCTTTAATTCATTGGATTAAGTACGGTTCATTCATCTGCACAAATTCATTTATATCCTCCTCGGAGACCACGTACGATGGTGTGAAGTGCCCGTGTTGTATATATATATATATATATGTTCTTTCATGAAGTGACGCTCCCCTTAGCCTATCGTTACCCAAACCAAGAAGTGACGACGTTGTGGTGCCTGTTGTATTTATTCCGGAGAAAATACACACAAAACAAGAAATTTAATTTTGCATTTTTCGACAAGTTCATTATTCCACTGAATTAAATGCTACGGGCGAGCATATTGCAATCTCTGGGTTTGACGAAATGTAGCCTTAGTTGGGGAACATCAGTTCGTAGAGACATTCTGTTTTGTCTTAAAATTTGATCCACGACATGTTATGTTCGCGAAATGTTGGATCTTATCACCGTCGCCAGGGTTATATTCTCACGGAGTTTAAGCTTTGTTTTACAACGCGTGCTTTATTTATGAGGGTCACAAAAATACGCTTTCATTTTCTCTTACGGACCCGGTAGCTGTAGTCCGAAGTAGGCGAGACGCACCTCGTTTGTCGAAGCCGTAGACGTAGTGCGGGCAGTTGACCTGGGCCATGGTCCCTGCAGGAGCTGGTTGCCAGCATAGGATTCCGTCCCAGACGCCGGGACATGTCGGGAGTCCTGCGTACGCACGCATACAGCCTTATTCGAGGCAACAATGTTGCCGCGAGACACAAGAGACGCTGTGCGCGTTGCATTCTCAGCATCATATGATCGCTCTGCAGTCAATCAAACTGTGACATTAGCCGATACTATAGCGCCTGGAACGCGTCTCCCACTGGTGCGTTTACCGCGTCCAAAAAAGCGGGTCCTCGATTCCCGACTAATGACGTCATAGAAAAGTCGCGCTGTGTCGACGGTCCCGATCCTGGCGGCGTCCCAACAAGGTTAGTGGATGTGGCAGATGACTGTTCTGGTGCAGGTCACCCTCCAGTGTGGCAGCCCGCGGAAGTTTAGGCAACCAGAAGTTGGTACGCTGCGACGAGAGTGACACTCGCGTTCGATCGTGATTTTCACCAGCATTTCTACGATGAACCGCTAGGATCGCGACATCCGACAACGTGACACTCCGGCTTTGATGACGTAACTTGTTGCCGCTTCGGGACCACTTCTGATGTATGGGTGGGATAGGACGTAAACACACCAGTCGGAGAGGCGCTCCAGCCACCATACCAATACAAAAAAACAAACGAATCATAAAAGAAGAAAAAAAACATGTAATTAAAGATTAGGCCCTGCGTTCCTTACCCTAGCAGTGACTAGAATAATGTGGTAACTGACGGGGCTTAAAAAAAAGAAAGGAGGGCTTTGCTTAGTTAGTGAACAGAAGCCGCGAAGGACAGGGACAAAGTGAAGGAGGTAAGGACAACATGGAGCGTTGCCTCCTTCACTTCGTCCTTGACCTTCGTCGCTTCTATCCAGACATGAACCAACGAGCCAAACAGAGCGTTTTGTTGGCTTAGTGCGTTCACGCTTGTCTCTTCGCGATTCGTTCCTCGCCGTTCTTATTGCTATTGCTGCAATTCCACCGGCTGCTGAGCGGTTCCTTATTGAGGAAAAATATATGTATATATACGACCGATATCCCCTGATACCATATGAAGGACGCGCATAAAAAAGAATAGCGAGTTATTTCATTTGTACACATCACACGTTTAAGTGACGTAAAACAAGTTCCCATACTTGTTTGTACATGATAAACGTATAAAATGCCTAATATAGTCGGCTCCGGTGCGCCACATCCATTAAAATAAAAGTTCGCTAATCGTAAAAGTATTCAAGATAAGTTCATAAACAAATTTAATTAATGTGCCCTATCAAGAGCAAAATATGTTAGGCAACCATAGCCGGACATAAATTGGCTTCTGTGTTTTTCTTTAAGCGGGATATTATATCATATATGGTTTTTTCTTATGATAATCTGGGATATGGGTCGTATGGGTCCTTTTTCTCTTTCAATGGGGTAATAGAGGATGTCCCTTCAGAATAAACCCAGTTAACGTAAATACACCTCTATATGAACGACACTTTCAAGGACAAACTCCTTCTATACTTGCACTTTTTTTTTGTCTCGTTATTCTGAACAAGTCAAATTATGCACGATTTTTGGGAGAACGGAGATGTTCGTATTGAAGAAACGTCACAGCAAAATGCTCAGGTTTCTTCACGCCCAGCGTCAAGCTGATATCTACTATAGTTGAGCATATTACCATGAAACGTATCACTCATTAGAACTATAATTATATCCGAACTGTATTTAGGCCAAATATTTTGCGAAACAAAATGAAGATATACATTAGAAGAATTTAAATTAAGGTATGCGTTAAAGAATGCTTGAGGTTTCATCTCTCTCGAGCTATGAAAGAGTGGAATGGGTTCCTCGATGTCGCTTTTGAGAAGCATACCTTTTTGTTGCAGACAACAGGTATGAAAAGGTAAGTATAAAATTTAATTTCTAAAGTATTCTTGCTACGGGGACAACGAAAGTAGTAAGCGTCTTCGAAGGAATACTGAGGTGTAAATATAAATATACAAAAAAAAACACGCTTTGAAATAACTCGCATACTGTTAACAAAAGCAGGAAAACCTATTACCGCCATTATATATTTTTCGCGTTCATGAATATTTTTATTCGATATTCACAACCGGGTTACACTTCAAGTGCAGCCAACCATTAGCGGAATGAGTCTCGGGATAACTCCTTCCGTTTGCCGTCTCAGTAAGCAGGCCTCGAAGAGTTACGAGCTTTTAGGTGGGCGCAGATGCTGCGTCACGCAAGAACCATTAGTGCTATCGGTGTACAGGTCGGCATGACACACAGGGATGCCAATTCAAATACAGTGTGTAGCTACTTCTGAAAAGTATGGACACATCGAGAAGGCATGCATTGCAAAAAGAGACTAGGCATAACAATCTACAGAAAAGGCAATCACAATGTGTCAGAGACTGAAGTGGTGTGCCAGCCAACGTGCTCTTCTAGAAGTTCCTGCTTCAAACTGAACAAGCTCTAAATGCCCGTGGAGGTTTTCCAATGTTCCATATTTCCTTTCAGATTGAGGGTAAGCCCCTTCAGTTTGAGGTCGATTCTGTCACCGCAAGTTCATTGATCAGCGTAGAAACCTTTCGTTCAACCTGGTCCGAGAATCTACCAAATCCCCCGAAAAGCAACTTGGAACTCCAGACTTGGAGGGGCGACGGCCCTAAACTTCTTGGATCACTTCAAGCACGTCCACCTTCAAGTCGAAAAATTACCTTCTGCCGCTTCTGTTGATGAAAGGATCTGGCTGCAGCGATTTGGGAAGAGCTTGATTTGACGCGCTGCACATCCGAGTGCAAGGAATCAACAGGTGGAACATCAGACCGCTCCACCAGAAATTGAGGCAGAGTTTCAACGACACCCCAACGTGTTCCAGGACGACATCTCTGGATACACAGTACCCACAGTGCAATTAAAGCTCGAGGAAGGAGCGCCACCCAAGTTTTGCAGGTCCAGCCCGGTTCCTCTAGCGCTTCAATCAGCTAGGACAGACGAGCTTCAACAGCCGCAGAATCAAGGGATAATTGAGCCAGTAAAACACTCTGTATGGGTTACGCCGCTTGTGCTCGTCTGAAAGAAGTACGGAGCCATCCCAATCTGTAGAAACTATCAAACCTCAGAGGCGCAACTATCTTCTTTACACTTGACTTGTGCCAAACTTACCAGCAGCTGAAGGCAAGGGATAAGACAGCAGAAGTCCTCAGAATCAACAGGATAAAAGGACTGTACAGGGTGACGCGAAATCCGTTCGGAATTTCAGCAGCACCCGTGTTTTTTCAGCGGATGATGGGGACGATACTTGCTGCTATTGACGTAAGAACTGTGTACGTTACTGACCTCATCATCGGTGAAGTGACCAAGAAACAACACGCTGAACGATTATAACAGGTACAGGGTGTCAAAAAAATTGCAGTTTTTTTTTTTTATTGCAAAACTAAAGTAGGCATCGCCGAACGATCATTTTCGGCCCAAAGGTAGCGCTGTCGCAAATTCGTTAGGAACAACATCGGTATAGATCCTTTTCATTACACAAAACTTCCGTTCAGGGTAGCTTCTGCTGCAGCCATATTCCAGCACGAAATGAATATTTTCTAGGCTTACCAAGCATAGCCGTTTACTTTGATGGCATAATTTTCACAAGTGTTGATGACCAGGAACACTTCAAGACCCTCAAGAGCGTTCTTCAGCGAATTCAAGATGCCGACCTTAAGGCGACGCTCGGAAATTGCGAGTTTTTTTGCACATCAAGTGGACTATATGGGTTACGTCATCAACGTACAAGAACTGGCTCCAAACCCAAAGAAATAAGATGCCATCAACGCCCCTGCTCGTCGGAGCGTGAAGGAGCTTCAGATGCATTGGAGTAATCAACTTGTAGAAACGCTTCTACTTGACATTTTGTCGACACATCGTTCCTTGCATCTGCTGCTGATGGAGGGGAAGAGGTAGACCTCGCCGGGGAAACAAGAGCAAGCTTTTTGAGAGAGCAAAAAAATCTTGTCAAATGCACGTGTTCTTATACATTACGTCTTCAAGAAGGAACTTCCACTCAGGTGCGAAGCTTCGCCTTAGGGTGTTGGTACTTTTCTAGCACCCATCGGAGGGAGATGATGAAATGGAACGACCAGTAGCATTCGCATCACGGTGGTTAATTCCTGCAGAAAAAAATAGAGCAGAGTTGACAATGAGACACATGCTTTAATTTTCGGCGTAAACAAGGTTGACCAGTACTTGTGGGGGAGGCCTTTCATAGCAGTGACCGACCACAAGCCGTTGCTCGGACTCCTGAACTTCGATCTAGGAGTGCAAAGTCAAGAGCCTCCCCTAGCTACAAGGTAGGTGGTTACCCTCTGATGTTACACGTTTAAGCTCATTTACAAACCAAGAAGAATGCTTGGAAACTCCGACGGCTTCAGCACAGTGACCCTCCCCACAAGCAGCGTGCCTGATTTTACGCTAGCCGACCTATTAATGCTGGAACAGGGATCCCCTGAAGTACCATTACCAGCTGTGGTTCATCGAAAGACAATTAGAGATTCTCTGCTCTCACAGTTTGTAGAGGTTGTTCACACTAGAACTCCTTTAACTATGAGAAGAGACTGGGATCCTTTATATGTCCAGGAAGAACAAACTCAGTCTACACGAGGGATGCCTTTTGTGGGGATCACGTGCAGCATAATACCCTACAGTGAAATGTTCCTGAACGGCTACATGCTGGACATTCCGGAGTGGAAAAAAACCAAGATGATCATCAGACGCCATGTTATGAAGTCGCCGACGGGCCGAGGCTCGCGGACTCTAAAGTCTAAAGCGACCGAGAACCACCGTTCGCGCGCAGCCCGAGATATAAACATCCATTTCCCCGCTTCGCGCGTAACCTGAGCGCCCCGTATTAGAGGCATCTTTCTTTTATTTCGTTTTACCTATAATAAACGAGACGTCAGTCTTCAGCCGGACTTCGGCACAAAAGGTTGTCTGTGTGTTCTCTTCGCCAAAGAACGTAAAACGAAACGTTGTGTTAGAAGTGGGATCGCCCCGCGAGTCTACTAATAATTAGTAAAGCACAGGATCGACTACAACCGAA